ATTTAATATTTTATAACAACAAACAAAGGTTGTCATAACCAATCCTGATGGTTGAGTTTAAAACTTTGAGCCAACACTGTGAGGACGACATTTACAACCACTCACCACAGCCGGTCCAGCTTTGCCATACTATCTTTGGTGTAGCGAAATGAAACAAAAGATGGAAGGAGAGCTAACTGTGTGAATACTTGTCATCCATCAGACACTTCAAGGTGTCATAGGTACCCATAATGGTTGTTCATACTGCAGATAGCTGTATGTACTACCTCAGTTAAAGTGTTTCCTGGAGTGCGCCAAACTGCCCAGATGAAGAGGGCAGGCACGGGAACAATGGAGGCACAGGATATCATCCAGCCGACTGCAGTGGCCCAGGCAGGATAGATGTAGTCCTCGTACTTAGGAGGTCGGTAGGAGTAGAGGGAGTAGCCGAAGGTGATCTGGATGAAAAGATGAAAAGGACCCATGGGTGTGCCATTCTTTGCATTTTATATTCTCGAGAGGAGAGGCAGAGATATATTTCTAATAATAAGGTGAGTGCTGGAGGGAGTTTAGTTTATTCATTTTTGAGACACAGGGAATTGGCAGAGACCAATGTTGCCCTTTATTTACTAGACTAATATTGTTCTGTATTACCTATGTCTTAAGTCACTCAACGAAAATGACTAAATTTACTAAAATCGGTATCTTGCTATATTCAATGATGACTTTCCTGGTCATGCCACGAAAATGGTTGAAAGTGTTCCTCTGGTGTTATGTGTGGATCACCCATTTGTATTGTTGTAGCACTGTTGATGTTATTCACTATCACTTACCCTTATATTTAACCTACAAGGAAAAACTAAATGTTCAAAAAACATTTTGGGGAGAAAATAAATAAAACCTAAATTTTAGACACCATCTAATGAACATGAATCATGAGACAAGTTTATTTATTTGCTCTCTTCGATTCACTGGCTCCAAAGCTTTGACATGTTGAAGAAAGGGAACAATCCCTTGAGGCCTCTACATAGCCCTTACCCACGCTTGTCATTACACATACAAAGTAATTATAGTGTTGGGACATTCAATGACATTCAATCTGCCAGATAAACTGCATTCTTCAATGATGAGACAAAACCCTTTCCTTAATCCTTGGTCCAGGAGGTTAACGTAGCGTTAAAATATTGTCCCCCTGTGTGACACATAATCCTATCATAATCGATGTTACTATCATCAACCAGTGTTTTTAAGCCTCATTGCTGACAATTTTAATATTGGTTAGTATTATGCACAACCACCAGAAGCTAAAGTGATGACGTAAATCCTGCAGGAAGCCGAGGTGCTGTAAGTCCCCATGATCCCCAGCGAGGTAGCCTAGCTTTGGTTACTGGTGGCCTATAGCCCGTGTTTTATAACTGTATTATATTGTTATGCTCAAATATGTTTCATAAATTGTTTTTAAATATAGTATGCATGCTCAAGTATGTTTCATGAATTGTTTTTAAATATTACTTTGCATACATGACTCAATTGTTTACATATTAAACTTGGTCTCGTCGCTATATGGCTGAAATAATGTCGATGCGACGTTAAATTTTAACTCACTCACTCACCCATAATCCTTGGTGCAATGCACATAACACATAACATTATAAAATCAAAACATTAATAGATTCCTAAGATATTATTATTAGATTTTAAAAAGTCTTCTCACTGTTTGAATTCAAACACAAAACAAAGCATGTGCAATGCAAAAAATGTCCTTGTTAAAATATACATCACACAAGATTATTATTAAAGCGTTCATGTATGTAAAAAAAGATTACAGGGTGTTGGTATATTTGCGTCTTCTGATACTGAATTCTAAAGGTACGAGTATTATTTCTGATATTCCGAGGACACTGCAAAATATGTGAATATTGGATAAGAGTTTCCAGAATATGGTAGAAATTAACAAAGAAAATATTCTTTTCTTTTTAGGTACGGACGTGATCAGCTGCCGTGAATTGCCTTATAATATCTGATGAATTATTGTACCTTGGATATAAATAATAACATTAATAGAAGAAACAGTTGAATCAAATTGAAAGTTAAACCTGTCCTACCACAAGGAGTAATGGCGATGCAAATTTTATTAACATGATGAAAAGCTCAGGGATCTTCTTCCCCCACATCAGCTGGACGTCCGCTTGAAGTCTCGTTGTGCCTTAACGGTATAAACATAGTAATGGCCACCTGAGTTCAATATACAGTAAACATAGTTCTGATCAAAAGACAAGCTATTAAAACTCATTGGGGAAATACAAGCAATGATTCATTCAAAGCATGTAGAGGTTCTCATAGTTAGTGAGTGGAGACAAAAGCAATGAAGGCTTTGACCAACCACGAGTTCATGTCTGTGAGTGAAACTGAAGGTACATACAGAACATCAATGTTGGGGAATAATCAGCCTTGATTATCTGCCGAAACAGATCCAATAGGGTGTAAAGGCACAAAATGACTGGACCATCAAAGTACGAAGACTTAAGCCCCACAAAACACAACAGATTGTAACTTCATTTTGGGTAGGAACATGCATGCACAATAGACGGTGATGAATGAGCATACCCTCTATGACACCAGCCTTCTTTTTTTACGATCATGTAACACTCTTCAAACATATAATGTATAAATGCTTCTCTACAATATGATATTTGTCATTAAGATTTGAAACAATATGAAGGCAAATAACGTTATGGTGGTGAATTAAATGCAATATGCAATATAAGTGTTGCAGCATCAGTCAGGCTTCTTACCGTAGAGCCACCCCATCACTATGCATTCCGACAAGGCAAAGAGCGCTGTGGAAGGGAAATAAGCGTACCAGTCCACTAGTGTCAGCATGTATATCCCACCCTGGAAATGGAAATAAATTGGATTTATTCCCATTCAAACTTTTCAGAAGGATACATACATGGGGCGACAAAATTAACGGCCTGCGTGAAACTTTCAAAATGTATTTTGTAGACGTGTGAAGAACATTTGTAAATTTCTTTTTAGTTGAGCAATAGACTTGCCTTTGTATGTATTTGTGATGGTGCCATCACCTTTTTGCGAACACCTGGTATCATCACTGTTTTATAATGCCTTTTGACATAAATACATGCTTATTATAGAGCTGCATTCGTACAATCGGCTCTGCTCTGCTTAATGGTTATAAAAATTGTTCAGTCACTATTATTTATATAAGTATATCTGTTTTGGGCTTCAGTCAGTTCCATCTGGACCATGACAGTCAGTAGGAAAGAGGAAGTCCTGTGAAAAATACATTCATTAGACAATCAGTTTTTTTGTGAGAGCATATTTTGAACAAAAACGTTTTTACCTGAAAAAGATAGATGATGGCAAAAGGGAAACTGCTTAAGAGGATCACAGCTGTTGGAAGCCACCGTCGCTTACGTAGACTTGGGAACATATCTTCAAATGCTGATGATATGACTTCAATGGCTGGCAACTGTAAAATGTAAGATTAAATGTCAGCATGAAAGCACATGTTACTTGCAGCAAGAGACAGCTCACTGGGCAAGTCCCCACACATCGATTTCTTTCTAACAGAGTGCTTGAAATTAGAAATGGGGTCCATTATGGGGTGTCGTTACTGACGTAAACGTCTCACATGTTGCTGTAACATAATGACGTAGCAATTCTTTTGATAACATTAACAAAGCAAATACAACTGACAAAAGGTAGCTTCGTCAGGGGAGGATATGTTGCTTGATGGGTGAGTTGTGAAACTTAATATGTTGTTAAACGGCCTCCTTCTGCAAGACACAGTATGCATCAACTAACATGTTTACATTTAAATAGGTGTTGATGAGTCAGCTCTAAAGAACACACCTGTATTCATCTGGTTTAGAATATCAGTTATCTGTCGCTTTTATGTAATAAGGTGGTTTTTCGTCACACACAATGCATTTTCAAAAAGAAGGCTAATTTAAGCGTCTCAGTGAATGAGCACTGTGAATTTCACATCAAAAGGGATGCACCGTGGAGGGCTTCTGCTTTCATATTATATCCGTGAGAAACACGAATGTGACAAATGCAATGAATGCTACATAGCATGTCTATGTTGTCAACCCCAAGTAAGTATAACCAATGTTTGGTTTAAAGTCAGCGATGTCTGTTAGGTTTGTTCCACCTCTTGTGCGTCAAAAATATGCTACTGGCAAATCATCATATCAAATAAATTTTAGTTTTCTTGCCCATTTCATGCAGGCACCATTACCTAATTACACACTCATTAAGGTCTATTCCTCTTGTATATTCTACCTGACAATCTATTTCCAGCGTCATCAGCATGATAAATGTCAAGGTTGACCATAACTGTGGCAGGGGCAGATAAGTCAGGACTTGCGGATACACAATAAATGCAAGGTTGAAGCCTGAAAGAGACGATGGTCAAGATATAATAGTCAAATAAATCACAAACATCCATATGGCTTGGGATGCCACATCACAGACAGAAACACACTAACAACCATCGAGCGAAACCAAAACACTGGAAGACTTGATGTAACACGGAACCTAAATATGCCACAATGGGGATTTCGGTCTGCACAGAACACCAATGTTTTAACCACAACACATTTGTGCAGAAAAGACATAGTGATGATAAATACAATATCATAATGTACGTATCTCTCGATCTGCCAGCTTGATGTGGGAAGAATTCCCGAAGTGATGCAGGTCTAAGATATTTACCACTTTGGTGAAACCCACGAGCGATGGACAAGCCAAGACATATGCTTAAGTTGAACCGGGACTCGAACCCAAGATCCTAGTTTTCTGGCACGATCACAATAACAAAAGAATACATACCCGAATATTTGCAAAGCATGTAGACTCCTGTGTATGTATGTCAGTAAGTAATGTATGTAACGCGGTTCCTGGGCCACCCTGGTACTGCTGTACCAGCCTCAGTATTAACCTCCCATCATTAGAGTCACCGAGTTACATGCACTCCACGACTAAAGCAGCACTAACTAACCCGATGATGCAAAAGCCTCCACTGTCACTCCACGTTGGTAGGCAACGTGACCGATGATTGAAAAGAAGGAAAATCCAACCAAGATAGTAGCAAACATATCCACGATACAAACACAAACTGCGTCTCTAAAATGGAAATGGATATTCATTGAAATCCAGATAGATCAGTTCATAGTAATGGATGATAGTATTGTTATAGGGTATGCAAGTTGATGGTGTTATACGTTCTATTTCAGACAAGTATGTTATAATTACCATTGTAGGCGATAATGTAACAATTACCATTGATGGTAGTGTAACAATTACCATTGATGGTCATGGTGTTACAATTACCATCGACAGTGATGATGTTACCATTACCATTGCGCGCGATAATGTAACAGTAACCATTGTATGTGATGACGGTACAATTGCCATTGAAGATCATGATGTCACAATTACCATCGACAGGGATGATGTTACAATTATCTTTGCTGGTCAATTTATTACAATTACTATTGCAGGTCATGATGTTAAAATTACCATTCACAGAGATGATGTTACAATTATCTTTGCAGGTCAAGATGTTAGAATTACTATTGACAGTGATGATGTTACAGTAACCTTTTTAGGTAATGATACAATTACCATTGACAGTGATGATGTTGTGATTACCATTGCGGGCCATGATGTCACAACTACCATATGTGATGACGTTTATAAAGTAATAATGTTACAATTGCATGTCTTGATGTCTTAAATACAATTACAGATCATAAGACAATTGATGTAGTAGAGTTTCAAATTATTTGTTTGGTTTCATTTGAAAATGCAAATTGTTTTCCACTCTGGTAGCATGGTCATTGTTACAAGGATACCTACCTTAAACAGTTATTGTTGATCTTGTTGTATCTCGACAAGGTTAAATTAAATCCCAGGCCAACAGTCAAGGAAAATAAAGAAAAACTGCATGCTTCAATCCATATCTGGTGAAGAAAAAAACAATGACTCTTGTCTGCAGTTGTAAATAAACTGAGGATCAACATATACATACCTCTAAGTTGATATTCATAATGTTTAATTTTCAATTGAAAATATCTTAAGTTACACTATATTTAAAACATGAACTGCATTGGCACTAAGTCAGCACTCAAGGAATACTTCTGCATGGTCTTATCTTTTTTTTAAATAGTTTGATTTAAAACTTTGACAACTTTTTATACATTTCTCGCATCATAAACAACTGCTATCGGGTGTCTGAGACAATGTACATTTGAAAATCAATTAATTTGTTTTTTCGGCACAGATTCACAACATTTGAAATATTTTAGGGATGACCTGGTTGCAAATTCGTTCCTTACCCCAGGATTCATTGAACCAATTTATGTTTACGCAAATTACCCAGCCACAGATTACATTTTGCAAACTGTTGCAGGAATCGGTGATGGTTAACTGGACATTTTCAAACAGTTGTTTCATTTTTCGATTACATAAAATTAGAATTAGAACATATTGAATTAGAATTTCTGGTGGCCAGATATGTTCCAATTCGAATAATAACAGTTTAGCTTTGGAATCCAGTACAAAAAAGGAATGAATATGTCTTCTGGTTTTAGGTTCAGGGTGAGGTGAGGTGAAATGCTGTTTATCATCGCGTTCAAGGTTATTGCACTTATATAGCGATGTACATGCACATGTGTGATGCTGCTTGTACTTGTTGGGTATAATGCCGATTTTATAGAGCTAGGGCACTTAGATACCATGCCGCAGTTTAACGTGCATTTCCCACTCTGACACTGTATACTGACGACGAGCCGACCAGTCCTTGTTTTAGCCACTTAATGCCGAGCGCCAGGCAGGGGAACAACAAGTACCATCTTTTCACGTGTTTTAGTATGACGCGCCCGGGGATCGAACCTCTGACCTTCTGTTCTCCGTGCAGACGCTCTACGACTAGATCAAAGAGGCGGTCTTTAGAGTCAAGACAAAAGTTGATGGTCCTGATCTTTGGGTGGCTGCTTTTTTCCACTTAATGTCCTGGCCTCATATGGTGCATATTATTTTTATATTTCACTTATACCAGGTTCTTTGCTTAGTTATGCTTACATTTAATGGTTATGTTGTTTAAGGCCTTGTCAGTGGTTCTTAGTTCTTCCATATACGATTTTCAGAATGACCCCTAGATGAATGAAAACATTATATGTAGAGCAGTCAGACTTTGGACTGCAACACATGTGTACCTACCCCTGGTTCTGTAAGCTTGTCGAAGTTGGGTTTGATGAAATAATACATTCCTTCTGCTGACCCTGGCAGTAGACATCCCTTGACGAGGAAGACGATGATCAAGACAAACGGAACGCCAACAGTGACGTACACAAGCTGCAACAGGCATCAAAGTTACCTTAGGCGTACGACATGGAAACAAACAACAGCGATATCAGTTAGGCAATCGTATTTATTATATACTTTAATGTGAAAGGCTGGGGTTTCCGAAGTTGTGAAAAGTGATATTTTCATTGCAGTGAACATTATAAGCCATGTGTCGAGTGAAATATCATATTACGGGTATATTTTCACGCGTGGCGTAGCCACGTCAACATCTATGAAATAAATATTAAATCAATCGACATGATATTGAAGGAAACATGTGATATGACAAACAGAAATATCTGATGATTGTACAATCAAATATTTTTAATACGATTGACACAGTAATTTAGTAAGGTGTCATATTTTGAGTAAGGATCTCAGCACCAAGGTGGAGCTTACATTTAACAAAAGTAGCTCAGATCAAGTACAATAAAGGGTCAAAGGTGAAATGAAGATCAAACTATATATAGATGGTTGGTACCACAAGGTAGAACACAGCAGTTAACATGTTTGGATCCTTTTCAACCGATTAAGGCTTGCATGTCAAATTTCCGCTTCTTTTGTCTTGTGGATTAAGAAGAGGATATATTTCATCAGACCAGGAGGATGTGACACACGCTGAATGAGTACGATTTCTTCTGATAAATTCATTGGGCTCATTAGGACAACTTAGAGTTATGGAATTTTTTTTAATTCAAAGATTGTTTATAACATGACCAAAATACCATCATTAGCACTGCATAGATTGAAATGCAATACCTTTTAGTTACAGTCTCTGGGATGATATCAACTTGTATCAACATTTTGTGTATGAAAACTTGATTTGGGGTAATTTGTATGAATAATAAACAGTATTGTAGATCAACTTCATCTTGCATTGAGGTTTAACACTGGTCAATGACAGAGAAGCAACACAACACAATGACATACACACAGCAGTTGTCTTAAGGCAGCACTAATGAGATCCCTGTTGAAACGTGTGGTTATCAGTAGCAAGTTGCACAAGTCTTGTAATAGTACCCTGTGGTCTGATGTGGGGGTGCTCTGTGGTTTGTCAATCATGCTTTGGTGTGCATGACAATGTCCAAAGGTATGTCATCCATATCTACACTTCCCAGGCAATATGGAGCTCATATCTGCCAATCACTGTTGTGAATTGTTGCACAGCATGGTTTTGGCTGTTGCAAGACCTCCACCATTGGTTCACTATATTCCACTAATGACACTCTTAAAGCACCTGTCCCAAATTGTAACGCAACGTAGAGAATGCTCTATCATTGCAGATCACAGATTATTGAAAGGCTTTGTTCTGTATTACCCCATATATCAGATCAATGTCATGTGTTCGTTTTACAAGCACCTGTTTCAGATGATATGAGATGATAGACAGGTGATGGTGACATGGGATATGAAACTGATATTTCACTTAGTACATCCTCCTGACTCTGCAGGCACAATGTATCGTCATTCCTGGTCATGACAATGAAATTGATGACAATGTTCACACCTGAGTGACAGCGCGCGGATTGTTTCGGCAGCAGAGAAACTGACACCAGTGATCATATTGACAGATGTCTGTAAGTACTCGTGCAGATAATCTTCACGCAACATTCACCCTGTCGGTAAGGTGGATATACATCCCAGTTTTACTGTCAATACAAACACAGATCATAAACCAAAAGCTCTTGAAGTCTCATGATGAGATTTCTATTAAGTTGACACCATGAGATGATGCAGTCATAAGATGCTGGACATGTCCATGACAGTGTTTTGAGCCGACATCTGCCTGATGAGCGTCTTAGATGAGGCCGGTTGGCTGTTTCACTTGCCTCTGCTTCCAGTTTGGAAGTTTGTAAAACTCTTTCTTTGGACATTTCAAATATTTCCTGAAATTTCTCCTCTTCCAAGTACCACTCAAACTTGGACTCCACGCCCTGCTACAGTATTTCCGCGACAAGTACATCCCTGCATATTTGACTCTGCCATCAGAGTTATTACACCAATTATTGACTTGCCTTTGCATGTGTTTGTGACGGGTGCCACCAGTAGGGATAGGTACACTCACCTTTCCGTGAACACCTGGCACCATTATTATTTGATAGTGATTCATAGACACATGCTCATGACATGACAGAATCGTACAATCGACTCGGCTTTTAGTGATTTTTTTTATGAATATCGAAAGTGGTTTTTTCACTTTTATTTACCTTTCCAGTCACCCTGATTCCTCGACACTGGCAAACAAACATAATCAAGTATGTTATGGCCAGACACAGAACCAGAGGCCACCTTACTCCACCCATGTCATGTAAACCATCAGTCAACTGCAACACCTGCAATCTGACAGTATTCCAATTGTTACCTTCGTGTGTGAGGAATGCTCACGTTGAACACCTGGTATCATCACTGAGTTTCAGTCATCCATTCAAATCACTGTCTCTATCACTGTACGATAATCTGAATGGATAATCGAGACTGGTTGATGCTGAGCCAGTTAGCAACTACTTGTTAATCAATGTTACATTTTGTATGAATTTATGCTCATTTATGTGTGAAGAATTCTGTGTAGTTTACAGGGGCCCATGAATTTCCAAGGCTGAACGCTTTTATATACCCCATAGTTAAACCGTCGGGCAAAAGAAAGTATACACTTAAAAATTGGAAGTGACCCAAAAATTACAAAGGTTATCAAAAACTTACTAAGCTAAAACCAGTCGCCGAAACACCTCAAACGTTAGGTCCAAAACACAACCATTATGCCCGTATCAAATACATCACTACTGAATAAACATGTCTTGTTTGTTTCCATTTTAGCCACCATCAAACATGGGTGTATACGTTCTCTTGCCCGGCAGTGTAATTCTGACTGCCTCCGGCTTGGGTCAAGACCCAGTTTCACCGTGATCCTTCATCACGTTCTGTCAGCAGCATTCTGCACCATTTAGTTTCCCCAAGAGGGGAAACGTAACAAAGCGTCTCCCCGGAGTGTGGAAACGCGGGGTTACGATCCCCGACCGCGTCTAACAAAAGATGTTAGAAGATGGTACTTATTGTTACCCTGCCTGGCGCTCGGCATCAAACAAGGCGTTTGGTTCTAAGTCTGTATACTGTGTCCGAGTAGGGTGTCCATGTTAAACTGCGGCACTGTGTCTCAGTGGGCTAGCACAATAAAGCCGACATTTGTCCAGACTAGTACAAGGACAGGTTACAACCCATTTCATCTCACCTCTCCCGTCCAACATTATGCTATGATAATGCTGATCATGAAATACTCTTATATTCCAGCTATTCTAGCTATATTACGGCGTTCTTTAAATAATCGTGTGTGAAAAAGACAATCCAGTGATTGACTTCCCGAGCATCGATCTACGCAATTCGGATACGATAACATGCATGAAGCAAGCCACTGAGCCTGATCACCCGATCCACAGTTAGTCGCCTCATACGACAAGAATGGATTGCTCAAGAGCAATCCTAACCCTAATCTTCACGGTTTGCTTCTCTTCGCTGACATTATGCCATAATATAACTGATATACTCCTACAACAGTCATTAACTCGCTCAGAACTCATATATGACGGGGCCAGTCAATCAGGACAGACCTGACTCCTTTTCGTTAACATGTGCTGTCGTAACTGATTTTCATTCATATAATTTCCTTTACTATTTGCTTCTTTCTCCCTATGGAATTTGTTTTGAAAGATATTCGAGACTGGTTACTCTCTTTTACATGTAGAGTAGAAATATTTAATAACGGATCATAAACTGTGGTGACTGATAGGAATGAAGATATATTCTCTGTAAACCATAGTTGGTTGTTTCATCGCATGGATCTGATAAAAAAATGAATTCGAAAACAAAGCACATTCTTCAGAAGGAAGAACCTACGAACCATGCCTTTGTTTTAAAACTGGTTACAGTAAAACAAAGTTCTTTTGGTGAGATGAAATCAACGCTTACGTACCTCCAAAACTCTTCTGCAGCTGTTCTACAAGCATACGCTCCTCCAGTGACGTTTACCTGATGACTGTAGGCGGTGCAGTTTGTAACTTCCGCGTGGTTCATATACGTCTTATTGATGCCACTGTCAGATATACACGAGGGGGTGTTCCAGTCGTTGTCGCAATTGGCCCAAGGTAGGGTGGACGAAAACGAGTAGTAGAAGAAGTAGACAAACCAGGAAAATATGGCATTGTAAAGTGAAAAGACAATCCACAGCAGAATCAAGATACCAACACCAATTCCTGAAAAAGGAAGTATCAAAGTCCATGTACACACACCCGTGTCATAGCGAATATAAACAACTCACAAGAAGTTAAAGAACATCCGAATATTTCATATTATTATAGTTAATCTGTCATGCGATGGCAATCACGCGGATGTGAATGCAAGGACATTGAAATGTTAAGGAAACTTTATCCAAATTGATTCCTGCGACCATGCACATCTGGTCACTCCTCTGGGTCAGTAATATTTATATTTACGCACGAAAACACTGAACCAAATAGTGAAAGGTATTGCTTACACAAATCTTGATTGAACACAAATAATCAGTTTTCTTCAGTGACTTTTAAAAAATGTTTTCCAACCAAAGGATGGCGACAATATAAGCATACTGTACCTTTGAAAGGTGGACACATATTCCAGGCGTTGATTGGTCCACTCTGGGAGAACTGACCAATCACCATATCCAGGAATACACAAGGTATGACGGCGATTATGGTGAACAGCGCGTAAGGTATCAGAAACGCCCCTAAACAACATGAACATTGGTAAACCTTCAATTGGAGTGGGATTCAATGGAATTCAAAACTGAATGTATTGTAAGTCATGTTTGCACATACTACAGTAAGAGAACAGAAGGATATGACAAACACATGCCTTCAATAATCTAAAATGATATATGATACTTAAATGCGTTTGGTTAGCAGTTATGTCGCGTTCGATGATGCATGTTCCGAGGTACTCTGACTGGCGTTGGTGAATACACACACTTCTTCAGAACATTTTGTGCATTATCCCAGCAATGGTGACATAGAATTACGACCCAATTTGAACATGGCGATATGGCAGACCTAGCTAAATGTGCTATATTTAGCACATCAGACGGAAATGCAATATAGGTACGATTTACACCTTAAGATTTCAGGTTGTGATATACATAAATATTGTCGTAACAAAGTCTCACCTCCACCATTACGCATACACAAATATGGGAACTTAATAAATGCCCCTGATCCAATACTGGCACCAAGCAGGGTGATGATGTAGTCCATTTGATGCCGCCATCTTTCTCCTGCCATCCCTTAGTTAAAAACAGATACATGTTCGAGTTTAACCTTCGACAAAATTCATATCTTTAATACTGCATCATTAAAAACGTCAAAAAAGGCTGGTAATTTATACAATATCGCAGTTAGTTATTTAATCATATATGCGCATATAAAATGGTCTGAATAATGGAATATACAAATATCGGGCGAAAATAGGTACATTGTCCCAACCAAATAAGGCAAAAAGAAGCATCCATTTGATCATGATCGACTCATTGACCATCGCAAAACGTTTGAGGCTATTACTATTGTTTAGCCTTCTACGTGTAACGAATGGATACATGGAGGTTACCTAGGGACTCCGGGACGCCAGGCCAGACAAACCTGACCCCCGACAGGGAACCCTCACAACGGATAACGAATCAATGTCATTGCCCTGTTTATCGCCTAAGTACAGTATCGGCCTCTGTCAAATTCCGAGTAAAATTACGGTCCCTAAAAACAATCGGACCGTATGTTCTCTCACTTTGAAGTAAGCTCAGTCACTGTCAGCTAAAACAATAATGCCAATCCTGCATGTAATCATATTGTTCTTACCGACTTGTTGTCCGCTTTGTTGATTTGAATTTACTCAGCTGCTAACGAGAAGCTCTGCTAAATTAGATTAACTCAGTGTCATGAGCCTGTCCATAACTAGCGGTAAATACAGACTGTCATTATTGATCGCTCCCTGTTCTCACGACATTTCCAGTTACGTTGACGACCAATCGGAAGGCTTGGATGAAGTACCAGCTGTTTGGCTGTACGACTTCAACAGATGCGTAGACAGTTAAGGAAAAATCCTGTTTATAGATAACGTCATAATCTCATTCCAACATCGAACTGAGCCACGTGAATTAAATGGAAAATGCACTTTCACACCACATTGGTCCATCGCGCACGTGAGGTAATAAACTTATACTGTTGTTTTAAGCAGGACTATACTGTTGATGAGTATGTCACCCGCCCTATGCCGCGTGCCAACAGAAGGGCTTTAGCTATGTTCAGATGTGGCACCCCACCTATCCAAATTGAAATACGACGGTATGGTAACGCGCCTTTAGAATACAGGAAGTTGTCTTAACCTTTTGGAAGATGAATGAATTATCCCGTGTATAATGTTGAGCAACGTGGTCTCTTAGACAAGTGCCACGAGTTAAATTCAACTTTTAGCAACCTGTTTGATGTCCAGAAATTTACCTATATTTTGTCGGATTATATGATGTGTCCTCTTACGCCAAAACCTGCAACGACATTTTACAAAAAAAAGAAACGTTTTTATACAGCTGTTAGTCAGCTTTATCATATATGCTAAATATGTACATTACACTGTCTCTCGTAACTCTGTAGTGAGTGGACCATATATGTATTTTATTATGTAACAGTGTGGTAATGACTTTGTGTGAGACTGTAATAAAAAAACCTCTCTCTCTGCCTGTCTATGAACGAGCGTAATTTGCCGGATATGGCAAGCGACACTGCAGGGATGATTTAAAAAAACAAAAACTATAACCACCAGAAGTGCTTCCAAACAACAACCTCCGATTAGCTTTCATCGTTCCTTTTGTCTGTTTGTTTAGGTTCAAGAAATGAATTAACAGTGTTCACAAATGTGTCTTGATATTGCCTCAAAGTTTATTTACGCTATCCTTACAGACGGTAGCCCAGTCTCTTGTCACGCTCAGTTGTGTTAGCGAGCAATCGGCTCACGGCGGCGGCAGTGTTAGACAGCGATAAGTGCCCCTCAAGTCGTCTTTTTGTGTCTAAAGTCAATGATATTTTTTTGTCTTGTTTACATTTTACAGGAGGTAATTGTCGTTACACCACTTAGATTGGCCCTTATTTTGTCTCTGTGATGTAGCTCCTTTTTTCTTTTTTAGGCGAACCAAAGCTGCGTCATGAATGGTGCAGTCAAATTATCAAGTAAGTACCGATCAACCTATATGTGGTTTGAAGTATTTCAGGTGCAATGAGCTTTATCGACAATCTGCTATTAATCTCAATATTGTGAAACTATGTTAGTTCACGTACATTTTCTTGATTGAAAAAAATCTTTAATTAATCTTATCTTTATACTAAGAATTTGAATAAATACACTGCTAAATCTCCATCTCAAGATGACCCTACCTAAACACACCTCACAACTCTTTGCCAGCACCGATCGTGCATGAAACTATGGTAGAAACTTGTGCACCATTTGGTGCTTCAGGGTAGTTTAATTGTGTAGTATTGTGCCAGCAGTCACACGCTACCTGGTGTGACGTACTTATGTTAATACATTTTCCACATCAAAGAACAAATACCATCACACAATAAAAGCATGCATCATGATCAAAATAAAATTTAGAGTAATAAAAACGATGTTGCACATCAAACCGTAAATTTGCATTTGTACATGAAAAAGCTTGGTAAAAATATTGGATATGCGCATTTGTCGAAAACGTCAATTGCAGTTATTTAGGTCACCGTGCGTATTTGGTGAGTAGCTGTGTGGCTGTGTAATTTGGGTTCAAGGCGGGGAACCCCAGAAATGGACTTCACACATTGTACCCATTTGGGGAATCCAATTCGGGCTAAAGAACTCTTTAACCACTATCCCGGAACCCTTCCAGTTATATCACGGTGTGCCAGCTTAAACGGTTATAGATGAGGTTTAAGTTGACAGCCTGAGTCGTGGCAAACACATGTGGCAGAAATTATCTTGAGGAAATACAGAAGAAGCGCTTGACTTTAACGGACCAGTTGTCTTTCAATGCGATGTACTGTGACATTAAAAACTGGTATATCGGTAGATATAACACCAGTCTATAGATGTAAACACATTTGATGATACATCTGTGAGTTTAAAGTTGATTTTGACAGCCAGGGCCAAGTCGGACCGAAGACAGATGAACACCTCTGACAAATTCTGCTGGGGTTATACGATGACAACTTGTCTTCTCACAATATAGCTATAGTTTAGTCCCCTATTGCCGAGCGCCAAGAAGGGTAACAAGTATCATCCCTTTACGTCAACATATCATGTCTTCTGAGTTGTACCCTCAGACATTCTATGTACAGATACTTCAGTCACAAGCAGACATATCACCTGAATATCTTACGGGATGACTTATTCTGAACAGTTCAACAGCTGAATCCCAGAGATCAATCTACAAAGAGTTTAAATAGTAAAAACGTAACAGCAGACCTCAAGTACTGTCATCCATGGAGTCCACATGTGCAGAATGTCAGAAGGCGTTCACAGGGACATATGTTATATTAGAAACAAGCATCAGCCGACTTTCAACAAAATCGTTGCTGCATATTCGCCTCCGCCGACGTCATTCCTATACCACACTCCTGAGCAGTTCAAATTCACTATCCCTTACAATGTTGTCTCAGTGGGGCCAATATGGAGAATCTCACCCTCGTGTCTTTTGACATACAATATATATAGTTGATAAAAGTGGGAAAATTCCGAGGCTTGCCGAAGATGTTTGCCACTTTTATCAACGAGTGTTGATATATTTGATATTCAAAGACACGAGGGTGAGATTTTATTTATCATTCAACATCATTCTTCCAACTTGTTCAACTTGAAGACAGAAATTAGCAGTGTAAAAAGTACTGCTAACAGCTTCAGTAGCAGAGCCATTAGTGATGTCATTTGATTGTGACGTCATGGTCACTAATGTTGTCTTAGTGGGGCCAATGATACAATTGATCTATGGATCCAAAGATAGATCCGGATGTCACATCTACGAAGATCAGGCTGTGGATGAAACCCGTTGTGAAGGGCATTTTATCTCGCTGCAGCTGAGGTCTCATGAGCATAAAGAACCGCCCAGTGATCAAGAAACAGACACTGAAGAATCTTTCTTAAAGCTTGTGTTAACCTGTCATTGTGTAAGATTTCCCTTCAGTGCCAGCATCTATCATTTCATTAGTGGTGTGTGTGTGTGTGTGCTTTACATTGACGTGTTCGTCCCACCACAGTGCTCAAACATGATTTTTTAATAGATGTCGGTTACATGATAGCTGGAGTAGCTTCCTTCACATAGTTTTCACATAAACAATAAAATGGCACTGGCAAAGTTTTTCAAGTTTTATTGCAGGTATCTGTATTCACATATAGCATATCAACAACACAGAATGTTGCTGTTGAAATATCAAGTAACTACCAATCAACCTACATGTGATTTGAAATATTTCAGTTGCAAGGCTGCCGGGGTCCATGCAGGAAGCAAAAGTACTGTAAGTCCCCATGGTCCCCAGTATGGTGATCTCCCTTCAGTTGCTGACGATTTCTAGCCCATTTTTAAATTATGGTGTTCATTAAAGCTTACTGCCTTTTAATATTCTCAACTAGTTTTAAATCAAGTCTGTGATATTCTAGTTGTTCTACTGTCCTTCGTTGACAGCTTTTATTCAGTTTAAATATATGTATC